GCGGCAGGATAAGGGCATGGGTGCCACCGGATTCGCCAGCGTCTCGGCAGAGCTGGATGGTCTCTCGAGTTGATTGCGCACCGCAACCCACGATAATTGGGACATGTGCCTTGCCAATCTCTTCTAGGGCATTTCGTGTAAGGCGTGTAATAAGTTTCCGCTCAGCGTGATCGAGGTGGACTGCCTCGCCGTTGGAGCCATGAGTTACAAGACCCGCGACCCCAGCGCGAGCAAGGCGCTTGGCGTGGTTCTTGGTCGTCTCCTCATCAACGCTATCGTCTGAGGCGAAGAAGGCTACGGTAGGAACGAAGATGCCGGGTTCCAAAGTGGGGGAGGAACCAGTGGCACCATTGTGGTAGCCATTCGATTGGAGGCCCGCTGAGGATGATGCAGTCATGGCGACAGTTCTGAGAGTTATTCTGAGTCGACATCAAGGAAAGCGATTTTAGGGGAGATGGATGAAGCCGGAATGGCCTTGGCGCCAGTATCTACCTAGATACTTATCCAGGTGCGCGAAGGAGGGCATGAGTTTCGAATGTTGAGAAAACAGTAAGACTGAAGGTTATGGGAGGTGGGAGGCAAGTCCTGAAGTATACTTGAGTATTTGAGCCCACGCATGAAGTCTAACAGGAAAGGGTGCGGGTGGTTATAAAGATGTGGGCTTGAGGAAGGAGCCATTCATTCACCTTCGCAGTGCAGAACTGGGTCACGTCTCTCATCCACTCCACACAGGTTAAAACCTTCCATCCATGTGCAGGCGTTGAGATTGCCCAAAACGCCCCCATGTGTCCTTGGACCATGAGCCTTTTCACCATTTGCGATTCAAAGCAACAAACCACTTGCCCCCCACGATACGGAAGAAGCAGCGGGTTCTTCAGGGGCGGGATGTGTTGCCACTGGCTGGCTTGGCCACTTCCAGGGCTCCCCCACGAAACTCCCGTACGAGCCCGGGACCAATGGGTTATTTGCCCACAGATCCAAGTTTTGTCCACTCAGATCCACAGCGCTAATGGGGGCAAGGACGGAGACGAGAGTAGAGAACGAGAAACGTGCGAACGACGGCGATTGTTGTCACAAGCCAGGGCGGGAAGTAGCAAGATGTCCTCGTGGATGCGCACGTGAGCTTACGAGCAACAAGTATAGATAGCTTCCCTTTGAGGAAGTTAGCGAGTCATCAGCAGAGGAACAAAAATAAATAAAAAAAAATCAACCAGAGGCATCCCGTACACGCTGGCGTCAGTTGGAATGGCTTAAAGGAGACGGAGAAGTGTCCGGGCTGCACCAGGTTAAAGAAAAAAGCATCTTGCATTGTCTTCGTCAACAGCTGTTCGTTGGCTATCGCCCGTGCTAGCAGGGCAGTCATCTTAGGCTCGACTCCCATACATGGTCCCCATGCATCAACACGTCTCCTTCAATTGTTGAAGCATCTGAGAGATAATAGCTCGATCGTTACTACTTTATTTTAACACAAATCTTTGGCCGAAACGCGGGCAAGGATAGTTTCCTAGGCACAGACGTGCATCGACTAAAAGGATATGCCTTGTTTGTCGTACCACGAATGTCAACCCCACACACCTCACGAGATATTGGCTGGGCAATGCTTCAGGACCAGGTGATATAATGAAAAGTACGGTCATCGGTGAGGCTTGGCGGGCCAGAATAAACAGATGGATGTACCACACATAACGATGCGGTAGGCCCATAAAAGTCACGACATTTTGATGCGTCATGGCTCAATGTGGCCGCCAGGTTGTTGTCAGGAAGCAGATCATTGGGGAGAGACTAGAATGAGGTATGGATTCACAACATCTACCAGCTTTCCGCCAATTCTGACATCCATTTCGCCATGATTCCCCAACTTTGTTCATGTTGTAAATGAAACGTCAACTGTGTTTTGTGGTTGGGTATTGTTAGACAACCAATTGAGTACCAGACCCGGACCCTGGTTCATCGGAACATTGAACACCCCAGTCCTCGGCTGCATGATTTTGTCTGGGGTCCCTCGACCATTAACTACTACCAGCAGGCATCTTGCTTGTCTGTCACGCCACGGCCCGACCGTGCCACACCGTCGCGACAGCTTATGATACCGCAATCAACCATCAAGGCCAGGTCCAAAGACCATGAGGCTCATCAATGTCGAATCAGGTCTCCTGGAGGAATTCGTTGGTGAAATACCGCATTATGCCATACTTTCGCACACGTGGGGAGACGATGAGGTCATTTTCCAGGACTTTGTGCATTCCAGTCAAGAAGCAAGGCGTCAAAAGAAGGGGTTTGCGAAAATCCTCAAAACCTGTGAACTGGCCAAAAGATCGGGTCTCAAATATGCTTGGGTCGACACTTGTTGCATAGACAAGTCTAGCAGCGCGGAGCTAGGCGAAGCTATCAACTCCATGTTTCGTTGGTATCGCGGGGCCACTGTTTGCTATGCTTGGCTTACCGACTTAGCCCCCGACAGCTCATTAGAACCCGATACTGAGGCGTTGAGAGGCTGCCGATGGTTTAGACGTGGATGGACTCTACAGGAGCTGATTGCGCCGCGAGCGGTAGAGTTTTACGATGCAATTTGGAACTTTCGTGGCTCGAAATCTGGTTTGAAATATCTTTTGACAGATATCACAAAGGTTCCCGGCAATGTGCTCGAGTCGCCCGAATCGCTATACGCATTGTCAGTAGCCCGTCGCATGTCTTGGGTGTCTGAGCGCAGAACAACTCGGATTGAAGACATGGCGTACTGCTTACTGGGAATTTTCGACGTCAGCATGCCACTGCTGTATGGAGAAGGCGACCGTGCATTTTTGAGACTACAGGAAGAAATCTCGAACTCTACCAATGACCTTAGCATTTTTGCATGGAGAAAGTCGCCCCCCGAACAGATTTATTATGGCGTGTATGCCACCAGCCCAACCGATTTCCGTGAGTCAGGAACGGTCGAATTAGTTAGTAGCACCATGTTTATGCCCGAGTTTTTGAGAAGCAATAAGGGTCTCCGAATCCATACGAGCATTTTTCACGGATCTCAGCAGGCCTACCTTCTCAAGTTGCAGTGTGTTGAAACGAGTGGCAATGAAAGGAAGCAAATCGGCATATGGATCAAACCTCACGGCGGTGGACTTTACAGTCGTATACGAGCCGGCGAGTTTGGGGTCGAATCAACAGAGGACACCTCGAGCGTACAGTTACTCTTTCTATTCAGACACATCAGTCCTGCTCGGTCACGCGAACTCCAAGGGAGCCACAGCAACGCACTGATGATTCGCAAGGGAATCAACACCAAAACGCGCACCACCGACGAGAGTTTCCCCTTCGAGGTGACCATGTGGCTGCCTCAAGACGAATGGGACTCGCAGCGGAGCATGTTTATGAATGACGGAGCGGCCGAATTCGCCGCCTACGGCTACTTCAATTGGCGACAAGACGTCGAGCCCACTGATGACATGCATAAGGGACACAGCTTTATGCTCATTCTGGGGAAAATGGCAGACGAGTCGGAACCATGGATAAGCCTGGCATCATTAGAAGACACAACCAAGAACTTGACGGCGTACATGGGAGATGCGACGAAAATGGTTGCTGCTTCGCGAAGATTCGAGCAGGAACGTACGTTGGTGCTAAGAGATATATGGAGAAACGTGTGCAAAGCTGTCTATGTATCGCTGGAAAGGATAAGAGTTGATGGGGAAGAGGTATATTGTATCGATTTAACGTATGACAATGCACCGGAGGAGGCGAAAAAGGATAATACGGATGTGCCCAAGGAGACAAGGTTGGCAGCACGACAAGCAAGAACGACGTAGACGGTTCGTGTATTGAATGGTGCCATATAATGGAGGCAGTTTGTGGTAATAGCCGAAATTGAAGCCTGGGTTCCAATCCTGATGGCCGGTTCTATTCGGAACCAAGATATACGCAGAGGGGTTGGTTATTCCGCGTCGGCTGGAGCCATCCTCTAGCTCCCACTTTGGGTCTCCTCGAAACCATCGAGAAGGATCTTGGCGGAAAAGCCCTTTCAGTGTACTTGTTTGTTTTTCTGCAAGCCTTTTGTGCTCTAGCCAAGGCTTCCTCTTAGAAACTGGCTCTGAGTTGGGGATCACGGCCCTTGGACCCTAGTAAGTGAGTATATGCATTGCATTTGTATCCTGTTCAGTCGCACACTATTCACTTTGCCCGGCTTGTGATGGTGCTTTCAACTGCTGGCTCGTACTCCTTGGAAATGACCCTGTCCCCGTCAAAAACATGTTTGCTTAGATAAGAACAAGTGGAGGAGCTTATGAAAGTTCCCGACGATCTCCATTAGATGCGTTCCTCTAAGCTCGGCCCTACACTCGTCCACCGTGGTTGCTAAGTCCCCGAATTGACCAGTCCTAGTCTGGTCTGGCTTGCAGTTAGCTGTAATTAGCAGCTGGTGATTGGCTTTCCAGTAATGTGATTAGTCGGCGGGTTGTTGATATGCAAGTTGAATTCCCCCTTGTACTTTCGACTATCCATGCAGCGCTGCGGTCGAAGATTTAGTATTTCGTGGGAAGGAAGGTGGCCCAAGTGTGACTAGCAGCCAGTATTATTTTAATTAAGCACAGTTGCATTTTTCCCTAGTATCTATGTGCGGGAGCTACGTAAATCATGACTAGCAACAGCAATCCTCCCAACGGTCTCAACCCAGTCGCAAAGCTGGTTTTCCTTGGATTCGACCTTGCGTACTGAAGGTGACTAGTGCTTCAAGTGGGAACGATAACTCATACTGGGCGACAGAGAGCAGCAGCGTACAATATGCAGAGTAAAAGCGTAAACATGTCCTAAAACGGCCCTCTAACGGTCGACATCCCTTGACCCATCACGATCATGTTCAAGGCCCCATCAACCAAGGCGCACAAGGTTTCTACAGGCTCTCTATGACGAGGATGAGCTTGTAAGACTATTTCCCTGCCGACTCGCCGATACTCATCAGCAAAGATATTCCACAAGGTGCTCCCCGGCCGAGGGTAATAAGGGCCATTGCGCTAAAAGGCCCTCGCGATCAATACTAGACCGGATACATTTGCCTGAATAGGTCTAGCAAGGTCAAAATCGAGCATCCAGACAGAGTGTTCTGCAAGAGGCGCGCCCATACCCATCGTTACGGCTCCTCTGCGTGCTCCGAGCACAAACTTGACGCGAGTGCCGCATAATTTCATCTGCCAGTGCAACATTGCTAATGCCTCGCCCATGGCCTTGGCGTACTCTTGGCAAGGCAGCTGGAGCTCTTCCATCTGGTCGGCGTGGAGAGGAAAGTCGCGGAGACTGAAGCGATGCGGCTGTTGGAGGGGCTGGTCTGGATCACAAGTTCGTCTCAGGCCAAGATAGAGGTGAACTAGGCAGTGGGCGTATCTTCCGTTAGACAGAGCTTGTATGTACCTGTCGCGAGTCGGCGTCCGGTTGTACTTCTCGACGAGGAGCAGCTGCGCTTGTCTCGACACTGAAGTGATTCTCTCGGCAATCATGGTTCTGCATTTTCCAAGGCCAGCAGGCAGCACTGGCAGAAGGTCGTGCCATCTTTTGTCGTCTTCCTGGTCTATGAGATGGAAGACTTGTGGCACCGAGGTTAACTGTAGGCTCCTTGCTGCGCCATATATGCCCCGTTGAATCATAGCCTCGTACTTGATATCCCTGCCGGGACTTGCATCCTCGCGTTTGATGACGACGTCGACGTCGTGATACCCGTACCTCTCCCACTTCGCCATACCCCAGACCGAGCCACAGTCTCCAAAGCCGATTCTTTGAAGCGGGTTATTGGTAGCGCTCAGAGCTGGAAATAATTCCATGGTTCGAGATCAGGCCGTGGCTGATGACACTATTCGCGACTAGGTGATGACGATGAATATACCTGCTTGGCAAAGGATAGTGGGCAGCCGGGGTATTTTATGTAACTATGCGCTGAGGAAGAGAGGGTAGGGATGTCAAAGGGGGGAAGTGGCCTCCGTCGTATTTGGAGCAACGACTGGCAGGCAACTTGACATGCAATGCAGCTCTGAGCCGTGCCTACTTTTGCCCAGGCTCTATCAACTGGACCAGCTTCTTGGAAAGACTGAGCACAAGCTCGGACTTGAGCATCACACACCATCTCCTCGAGATCCAAGATGCCTCACTGCACACAGCTTTGGTGACGCACCGGAAGAAGTTGTCGGGGAAATCCTAGTCAACTGAGCAAGCGATTTGTCAACTCTGTCGATCCATCGTTTGGTGCAGCCAGCGGCTCGGGCGCGGCCGTCCTAGCTCCGGAAGGCATGGTCGCGTGGTGTTGAAGGTCTCTTCATCGGGGGTGAGCATGGGTCTGTTGAGGCACGCCGTCGTGAACATGACTTGGAAGCAAGAAGGGCGTTCACTTTGTGGAGTTTCAACACGGGGCCGAAAATGAGAATGGATAATAGTCCAGCATCCAATTCTTTTACCTCGAAGGAGTCCCATCTAAGTCTTGTGCTTGGGTTGTAACGTTCAGGATGGATGCCGCCTTTCGGTGCAATCGAAACCACGGGCCATTCGCGGGTCAAATTTAATCCATATGGGGAGCCTGAACCATCTCCTCTCCCAACAATCTCATGCAGCACGCCGTCAAGACAGTTATTCTTGCTGCTTTCTAGTCGCGATTATGCTTCGTTGATGGCTCGGCTCCGTCCCTCGCTGGCCCATCTCAAACATGGAAAGTTTGCTTCAGATGCTGCCACATTTCGCCGCACGATGCTGCCGCCATCTGTCCGACCAGCCTTTTCTGATAGCCTCGACAACTGCCGACTCCGGTGTATGCCGAACTCGTTCCTGCCAGCGTCAATCAACCGCATTCCCGGTCTTCTTATAGCTGGCGACGCCCTTAACATGCGCCACCCCTTGCCGGAGGAGGAATGTCAGTTGCACTCAACGATGTCCTCCTGCTGGGCGATTTGCTTCACCCCTCGAGTATTCCTGATTTAGGCGATTCCCACAGTGTTCTTCAGGAGATGAAGACATTCCACTGGCGGCGAAAGAGGACACACTTTTGTCACCAACGTGCTGGTTCAGGCTCTGTACTCGCTATTTGCAGCAGAAGACTATTATCTCGAGGTCCTTCGACAGGGCTGTTTTGAGGATTTCCGCCTGGGTGGCATGTGTGTGGATGGGCCTGCAGGTCTATTGGGAGGTATTAACAAGGAACCTGTAGGACTTCTTTATCACTTTTTTGCAGTGGCTTTGCTTTCAGTATGGAATCTACTGTTGTAGAAACCGATCTGGAGGCTTCCAGTGGTGCTTTTTACATGTGTTGGCGTCTTGTTAAAAGCGTGTTGGGTGAATATGTCGACTATCGTTCTGAAAACCTGTTCGACCCGTGATTGTGTGTAGCTGCCTAGACCTGGAACACCCATACTACCTCAGTAACTACGGAGTACATGAGCCGGTGAGCCGGTGGGAAGGTTCAATGTCCAGCAGCGATTTGCGAACTCCGTCCATCTTTCTTCTGCAGTCAGTGTTGGCGAATTATACGGAGCTCAGCTCGCAACCCGCAATTCCCCGCCACGCATAAACTTGAACAGATCTCCTTGTCGGCCTGCGTCCGTACGAGAGCCATACCATAACGATTCGTGGCCGTCCAGATCCATACCCTTTGTTGGATACGACCCGGGGACGGGGAAGGGGCTGGCCGTAGTCCTTTGGAGACGTCTCTGTGATTCAGGTGGGTGAACGACTATTCAATTCAGCAAAAGTAGCTGTTATGCTAGTGCGTGTTCCATGTTTATATTTATGGGCGCTTGGGCATCATCCAAGAGGACGGCTTGTCCGTCGTTTACACGAGATCTCGCCGTTTGTAAGCCCATTTCCTGCCACTTTTGAAGTTTCTTTACATTCCGTACTGTATTACGTACGCATAGTTACACAGAGCCAGGTGCGGCTTGCACAGCCCACCATGAGCTGTGAATATTACCATGCACTGCAACATAGAGCAACCCAAATGTCAAACAGCCCCTCGGGCCTCAATCACGTTGCCAATCTTCCTTCATCCATCCACCACTTCAAGGCGTCTGAAAGGCATTTGATCACCATGAGTGCCAAAGTTAATCGTTCCGTCGCTTTGATGAAAGACGAGCACCAGCGCCAGTCCCCAACGGACTGGCGAGCAGTCACACCCTGTCGATTCTTCCTGACGGGCTCGTGTACAAGAGGAAACTCATGTCCCTTTTTGCATGATACAAAATCACCAAATCATTCAGGTCTGGAATCCCAAGAGGTACAGTGGCCCACGACGAATCGTCAGAGCATCAGCTTACTGTGATGGGTTGGGCAGCCCAAACAGGCCCATGTAAACAGCAGGTTCTCAGTCGACTCTGGATGTTCGAAGCCTATTTGCAAGTATCACAAGATCGGAGTTTGCAAATATGGAGCAAAGTGTTTATATTTACATTCTAACGATGGCCGGACCCCCCAGGACGCGGCCACTGAACCACTGGATGTTAGCTAGCCTATTCCCCAAAGTCATGAATTGATTGTACTCAGGAAACTGGAGCAGGATGAAGATAAGAAAGACGATTTCACAAGAACCATTGGCGGTGCATTCGTCCAGTTCGACGCGGGTGCTCGCGTATCCAAGATCCGTCTGCCTGGTGACTTCTCTGCTGCCCGTATCAGCGGATTACGGCAAAACACCTCGAAAGAATCGGTTCGAGATATGCTGGCTGAAAAGGGCTTACACGTCAGCGCCGACGATATTTGCACATTTCATATGGAAGGTAGTTACGGAGCAACCGTCAGATCGGATGATGCGTCGTTTTCTAAACGACTCTGTAGTCTCGTTCAACCCGGCTGCACATGGGGAGGATTGAAGATACTGGCCACGCCCATTGCCGCGCCTATGCCCTCTGGTCATAACACTCGACGCGTAGTCTGCAAAAAGGTTCATGTATCTTGGCATAAGGCAGTCAAGATTGTCTGGTTGAATTTTGGCAATGGAGAAATCGCCCGCCGTGTGAGTAACATGTTCTCAAAGGGGACATATAAGGTCTTGGGCCAAAAGAGTCACTGCTGCCGCAGCTACCAGAGCTAAATCCGTCGTACCCTCTTGGCCAGCTCGTGGGAACCATATTGCCTGGACTGTTGTACTGACTGATGTGCCGGCTGCCGCACAGAAGAGCGACGTTTCACAAGCTATCACGCATGAGCGTAACAGACCTCACCATGTAGAAATAGGGGCCCCAACATACTCAACTGATGAGGAGACGGCTACAGCGATGATACGTTCTCTCCTGACGAATATCGGACCATTGGAGTATTGTGAAGACCCCTTGGAGACGAGTGCGAATGCCAGGCGGGTGAAGGCAACTGCCCGCTTCCTTGATGAGTCCGACGCCCGCAGAGCTTCCAGAGAGCTTGACAAAATGGAACTCCCTTTCCATCACAAGGCACGGTTAAGTGTGCAAGTCGTGTACTCGGCCAAGTTCAAGGTCGCCATCAACGTTTTCGATGCTGTAAAATCTCAAATCGTTGCCCAGCAGACAACTTGGAAAGACAAGAACATTTCCTTCAGGGCCTACAACCCCACGGGTCCTCTTCAACGGTTCAGGGTTTTGAAGATTGAGGGTGAGTTGGCAGAGAATGTGGTCAGTGCCAAGGCTGACCTTGAATCAATCCTTGCTGGTGTCGTCGCGACGGACAACGACGCCACCCTCTGGCATTCTTCACTCAAGGGCAATGGGCAGCTCTTCCAAGCGATAAAGTCACTAGAGAAGGAACTTTCGGTAACATCCTCCGGGACAAGGTAAAATCCGAATTACGCCTCTTCGGTTCCCAACGGCGTTGCGAAGACGCGCAGAATCGATTGGCTGAGCTGATACGTATGGCGTCAGGGTCAAGTTCCTCTAGAGTCATTGAGCTTGAACCTGAAAAATTCTTTTGGGCTTGCCACGGGGGTTTCAGAACGATTGCCGGTCAACTCGGTCCAGAAAAGGTCCTATTTGATATCATCTCCACGCCAAAGAAAATTATTATCTCTGGTTCCCTGGAAGATTATGATTTGGCTGTGGCAATTATGGAGGGCAGAAAACAGGTGCCAGAGCGAGTTGAGAAGCTAAAACTCGATGACACTGCGCAGGAATGTTCGATTTGCTGGACCGAGGCCGATACTCCCATCAAGACAGAGTGTGGACACATTTATTGCTTAGAATGCTTTGAAGACAGCTGCACCAAAGCAAACGCGACGGGCGGGGACTTTACGATCCTGTGCCATGGCAACCAGGGCAACTGCAGGAGCGTCGTATCAGTTGAGGACCTGCAGACGTACCTCTCTTCAGCTGCACTCGAGGCCGTCCTTGAACAGTCCTTCTCGTGTCACATAAAGCGCAACCCAAACATGTTTCGCTACTGCCCCAGTCCAGATTGCAACTTCATCTACAGGGTCTCATCGGCTGCCAGGACGCAGAACTGCTCCAACTGTCTCCGGCCTACCTGCTCGGCGTGCCACGAGCCGCACATTGACATGTCGTGCGCGGAACATCAAGACCTGAAGTCGGGGCGTTTCGCAGCTTTCATGAAACTCAAGAAGAAGCTAGGAATCAAGGATTGTCCAAAGTGCGCAACTCCACTTGAGAAGGTCTCGGGATGCAATCATATGACGTGCGCGGCCTGCAAGGCTCACATATGCTGGGTGTGCTTGATGACATTTCCAAATGGCGCGGCCGTGTACGACCATATGTGGAAGCTCCATGGAGGCCATATCGACCTGCCGGATGTCTAAAAGTTTCATGAACAGTCTGGGCATCTACATCTGTTGCCGATGAAGTTGGTTTCATCTTTTGACCACAGTCAGTTCCTCGTTGCGGACCCGCCAAGATACTTCCAACTTCCTAAATTGGCGTTGAATATCTAGCGCGGTCCAATCAGATTTAAATCCGGCATGTCTAGCTGCCTACTAGGTGGATAGCTGTATATATATGCAATTTCTGGATGCTGCAACGCGGGCTCTCGCGCGGCAAGGCGGCTATCTCACAACAGGCATTGACCATCTTCTGTGTAGGAGTGCTGTGAGGATGGAATTGTGGATGAAGGAACTCTTGCTTGAGCGTGGGGCGTCGTTGTTGCAATATGAACAGAAAATGCCCAATAGCCCAGGAAAAGTCTTCTGTTGCTGGATTTGGTCTGCCACTCAGAGCACACAATAGTGCCTTTTTTTTTTTGCTCCAGTCGTAGTTAAGGTGTGCTTGGAATAGACACATACTTGATCAACCTAAGACGCGACCTCCCTTCAGATAATTCTATTTGTTCATCTAGTGTGACAAGATGGAGAAGCTGTTTCTTGAAGTTATCTGGAGAGCCATCTATCGTGAGAGGTCAGCATATCTTGAATATTAGGCATCAGTCCGATGGCTCGATACAAACCTCCATGAGAATTAAAGGCCGCTGTGATGGTTTGCTCCCGTACCTCGCCAGCAGCTGGATTCTTATTGAACACAACTCGGGGACATCTATCGTATCCTCTATTGGTGGCTTTTCTAACCTACAAGTTCGTTAGCCTACGTCAAGTAGCCAAGACGCGTCAAGTGTTTGATATGTGCTGAGAGAGAATATACCCGCCAGTCAAAACAAATGGCTTTCGTCCCATTGTGTTTCTCCCGAAGCCTCTCGGTCGTGAAGGGTAGATACGATACTAGGGTTGCCCTGACCAGCCCACACCATTCAAGCTCTGCCAGTAACGTCAACTCGTCTGGTGTTTGTGAGAGGCCCATCTCTAACACTTGGTTAGGCAACGCCAAGCCAGCTCTGTGGCACACATGCTTTCAGGCTTCTCGCGACATCCATCTACACCAAGAGCCCTCGTCACGACCCTCTTTGGTGGCATACTGTTGTCATTGGAGGTAGGCTTCTACAGCCACTGGTTGAATCACGCATGTAGGACAACTAACTCTGAGTTCCAGGTCGCAGCTGGGTCAGACAAGGTGCTGACAGAAATCATCGAAACACTCTCCGAGTTCGGGGACCAGCTTCCATTTTTGCAAATCTCTGGAGATTCCGGAGCATTAGATGATGAAACGCTGGCTGCCTTGTTCGAAATTCTAGAAGCACTGACAGTCAACATAGTGAGGGCTATCAAATATTTCCGACGGAGAAACATCACCGCCACCACGATAGCACCAAATTCCGCATGGAGCACACTACGCGCGCAATTCGCAAAGGATCTAAGGCGGCTTGAATTGCGCCCGAGGGAACTGCCAAGAGAGACTGAGGCCAGAAGCTTCATGTCTGCTATGAAATCGAATGCCGAGCTTGTGCGGTTGTATGAAAGGCATTTTGCAGGCTCATCGCCCTCGGCGGCCTCTATGCGATGTCGGACCATACCATTCATACGAAATCCAGGCTGTCTTGGCCGACAGGATATATGAGATGCAACTGATAAGTCCTTCAAGAAACAACTAATCCGGCCTGCTTCCATTGCTCTGTGGGGGGCTGCTGGTGATGGGGAAAACGCAAATTGCATTCGAGGATGCCAATACGCTTTGGTTGGAGGGCTGCAACATGATTATCTGGATCTCGAGTGAGACCAACGCCGAAAGAGCAAAATCTTTTGGTGCTGCGGCGAGGGAACTCCAATTCAACGAGTTTTCCGAGGCCAACACGCCGGACAAAAACCAGCACTTGGTGTTGCACTGGCTTCAACAAACAGGTACGTACCATGGTGGAAACCATGAACACGTTGAAGTATGATGGAATACTCGACGAACAATTGGCTTTGACAGATGTGCCCTGGCTCCTGGTATTTGACAGTGTGGAAAACCAGAGCGATCTGCAGAGTTACTGGCCCACGGTTGGTCAGGGAAGGATCCTCATTACTTGTCGTAGCGAAATGCTTGCAGGTTAAGGAGTTATTGCACCTTCGTTTGAAGTCGCTGCATTCACGCTGTCCGAGGGCACAGAAATGATCCTTCGCATCACCGAGCAAGCTGAAGCACCAGAGACAGAAGCCCAGGCGGCAAAGGAAATTTCCAGTCAACTTGGCGGTCTGGCCTTGGCCCTTGATATTACGGCGAAACACATTAAAACCTGTCGTCGTCCAAGGTCGGCACGGGATATTATCCCGCATTTGCGGCGCAATCCAAAAGTGGGATATACACGGCAGAAACGCTCCAAAGCGCAGGATGATGAATGAATGCAACGTTTGGCGTATTGCTTTTCCAAATCCAAGTGAGGATGCGGCAGTCCTAGTGAATTTGATTTGCATATTGGGCCCTGAATCTATTCCGCACCACCTCTTCCAACTAAGTGGAACGAGCGTGGTGGCTGGGCTGGGCTTGCTACAAGGTATTGGTAGGTTATTCTGTACTTGTGGTATCGTATATATTACGTGCTAACAATGTCCCTTTGGAGTTGAAGAGTGAGGAGGCTCTCAAGATTCTGAGCTCTGCAGCCGATGCAAAGGGACGTCCATTCGAGATTCTCGAGGTGGAGGAGCCCGATGAAGAATGCTTCGAACCCCCCTCTCCCAAGGGTGTTGACAACGGCCGTCCTGTACGGAGCCATGTCAACTACTTGTTGGTGAGCGGGGTATTATTTTGCCTCAGTTTGGCGACCCAGCTCACGACACGGCAGCTATTCGTGCAGCGCAGGGGGCTTTTGGCGACGAGAGGAGGATTTGCCCTGTTCTCATTGAGGAGCTGACATCTGGACTCTTCGGGGTGGCGGCATACACTGTTGCACTCAGGAAATCCCCATGTTGCCCCAAAGCATAGGCACGAAAACAACAGAGGGTGCCTAGGTTTCCTTGAGTGACGACGCTTCACTGTTTTGACTTTACCAAGAGCCTAAATTGCCGCCCATGATGGCATAGGTCTTCTGGCATTCTCTTGAATTAATATTCCCACTCTGCAGAGCGACCTTGTCCAATGCGAATATTTACAGCCCGGCCTTTCTTGGATTGATCGCTGTAGTAACACCTAAACATGCCCTGGTGTCGCCGAAATGGTACATTGCTCTTCAAGACTTTGCACAAACATAGTTTTCCAAGTATGGTCCGACATGTCATGACCCCGCGTCTCCCACCCGCTTCCGCTGTGACGAAGCTGGGGGGGGGGGGGTTTTTTTTTCCTTTTT